CTGACCTGGGAATTCTTGATTAAAATATTTGCAGGCAAAATTACTCATCACAAATACCAAGAAATAGGTAGTTTTGCATAACTGCCAAAGAACTCCTAGACTGAGAGGCTTCCCCATCTCAATACACAGAAGGCAGTAGTGGTTAAAGACATCAGTTTTAAGTTAAGAGAGACCCGGGGCTGAACCTTGGCCTCACCTTTTAGTAGCTCTGTGACTTGGGCAAGTTGCTTAATCTCTCTAAATTTTCTACTTTCTCCATTTGTTAAATGGGGATAATAATAGGCTCTGTAGAGCTGCAGGAAAGGTTAAACAATGATTATGAATATATGTAGGTATATAGCCTGACACACAGCAAAATAATAGATAAAATGGTAGTTATTATTATTATTGTTTATACTTGATTATTATTCACTAAACAAACATTTATTAAATACTTATTCTGGGTCAGGTGCTGTGCTTAGATTCTATTCTAATTCCAACAAATTTAAAAGTCTATATCTATATCTAAATCTATACCTATGCATATAAACACCTTATAATCATGGTCAAGGGAGAGAAACAGAGATCCAAGGTCACTGAACTATGGGACAAGCAGTTACCTACTATCTCAGAGGATATTACTTTTTCATTGATCTGCAAATGTGTAACTATGAGAACAATTCTCCCTTCATATGCCCTGTTCTCCCTGCCCACTCAGCACAGAAATGCACACGATCACTCCAAGAGCACAGCTGTCCAAAATTGCTTCACAGAGAAAGAACATGGCTGGGACTGCTGGAAAAGGGAGAAGCTGCTATATAGGTAGTTTGGATAGCCAAGCCAGTCTCAAGAGAGTAAAAAGAGAAGGCTGGATGACTTGCCATCTGTGGCCATTGTATCAATATTTATAGCTTCTCTGTCATTAGGATGGCGATGGCAATCTGCCTAGAAAAATATATTGTAAAATCCAGTGAATTTCCTCCCCCATATCTTGGAAGTTTGGGAAGAACTGTAATAGATTCCAAACTGTTTTGAATTAGCAAAAAGAGCTTTTTCCTGTTGTAGAGTTCCAGCTGGAACCCTTCTATGCTTTTTCTTCACCAAACACAGCAAACGCTCAAAGGGCCAAAGTGTCCAATGGGGTATCCTGGGGCTTGTCAGCTTTACCGAGCTTTCCACTTGGCCGTGGTTGCTGGGTAGGTTTTGGGAGTTTGCATGTGTGGCTGGCATGATGCTGTGGCGCCAGTTGCAAACATGCCCTTGCTGGAGGCAGTTTTATTACTCTTGACGCCACCTATGCAGTCAGAGAGACTAGAGGGAACAGGGAAGCTATTACTCATCACAAATACTGAGGAATAAGGTATGGATTGTGGGTACATCTATACCTTGGACAGCATCACAAAGAGGGCACAGGTTGTGACTCCCACCACAAATGTGAGCGAGTTGACCACAATCCACTATGCAGAGATCAGGGTGTGGGACAGACAGGGCATTTGGAGGTGATAGTTAGAACGCCTGGGTTTCACTCCTAGTTCCACGGCTCGCTAGTCGTTAGATCTTAGGCAACTTGCATAAATCTATGGCCCTCACCTTTCTATCTATGAGATGAGAATGCATGTGAAATACTCTCAAAATGTACACAGTGCTTCCCTTGGTTTCTAGAGTGCTGATGTTTTTAGCCTTGCCTAAGGCTCAGAGGAGAAAGAGAGAAAGGAGAAAAACTCGAGAACTGGGTCACCTTCCTCATAATCTTGGTTTGAAAGCTGAGTAAATAGCAGAGATGCTAAGCACTAGGCCAAATCTAAGTACCACATCTAATGGTATCAGCAGTTTCTAGGGTTGAAGTTGAGTGACAGTGATCTTACTATAACAACTCTAGTTTCCTCAGCAAATACTTGTTGGGTCAAATCAGGTACTTTCATCCAAAAAATCCCCTTTAGGTCCTCTGGGGCCCCCCTTTAATTTCCCCAAGTCCTTACCACCCCACTCTGACCTCATGCTCATCTCCCCATTCTTCCTTCAGTCTAGGGTCATGGTGTCTTCACTAGAATGAAGCTCTTCTGTGATTCTAAACCTAGCTCAGAATGAGGTCAATGGATGCCTGTCAAAAGCACTTTTTTCCTGAAACCACTAAAGCTATTTATGGACATCAGAATGAACTGCAGAGGAGAAAATACTTGCTTGCTAAGATCAGGTAGGATCAGAAACATGTTTACTGAATAAAAACCTCTTGCTTACATGAATGTTTTTCTTTTCTGGAAAATCCGATAGAAAGAAAATTAAAATTAATTGAGAGCCCTGGCCAGTTTTGCTCAGTGGTTAGAGCACCCAGGTTGCAGGTTTGATCTCTGGCCTCAGCCTGCCTGAAATAGCTATTACATTGAACCAAGCTATTCACAGAGCTGGTTATTTATTTATTTATGGCTAATTAACGAAATATTTAAGGGCCTATCAAGTCACTGATTTTTAAAATACTCTAGCTTGTGAAATATGGGAAATAATGGCATTTTTCTAGATGAAACCACACTGTTGTCTCATGTACCCATTTAACAACATCACTCAGGTTCAAAAAGCCCACAATTATCATGATTATTTCTTATCTAGATATTTCCTGGTTAGGAACTAAGAATCGGAGTGTTTTTTTCTAAATGCCTCCCTTAGCATCTGTGGTGGGAATATAAACAAGTACCAACTTTACGGAAAACAACCTGGCAATGATTTTAGTCTTGCCTAAGGCTCAGAGGAGAAAATGTGCCTTTAAGAATTAGCTAGTCAAACAACGACTTAAAAATGTTCATAGCCATCTACCCAGCAATTCCATTTTGGCCATTTGGAATCAGAAAATAATCTGAAAACTGAACAGAAATTTACACACAAGAATGTTTGCTACAGCAAAATTTGGAACATATTTTAAAATTCTTTCTATGTTCTTTTCTATAGGTTTTTATAATAAATTATAAGTAACCTAAGCAAATATAGAGGTAATTTAGTATGCAACAGTCTTTTATAAAATGAAATATTTTATAGCTATTAAAAGTGGTAGCATATACATATGCAAGCACATGCACAGAAACTTGTTAGTAGGAGAAATAGGACTTTGCTAATCTAGATTTATTCTGAGAAAAGAGACCTTTATTTTTCACTTCCACCTTTCTATATTCTTTGGATTATATAATGACCAAGTATTTCTTTGATTTTAAAAGTGAATAAAAATATTAACAAAGAATATGAAATGGGGAAATGATTAAGCAGAGAAAGAAATATGAACATGGTTTATAGAGTGTGCTTAGGAAAAACTTTAGAAATATATCAAATGCTAATCATTTCATTTCTCTTTTTCATTAAAAATAAAATGTGCCTTTAAGAATTAGCTAGTTAAACAATATTAACTTGTTTTCTAACTTGTTTTTTCAAAATTTAATCTTTTACTCTTAGTGAACCTCAAGTAATCTGGAATATAATTTTTGTTTGCTGAACTAGTCATAGTCCCAGGAGGATCAAGGGTTAATTTGTTTAAGAAGTAGTCAACATACTAAAACGTGTTGGATAGCATATTTTTGTTACATTAAACATACACCAAAAAAGTCATTTTTAAACGAGTTACAACTTGACACTGGACTTACGGCTGCAGAACTAACCTATGCCATATTGTTATCTATAAATACCTTAATCATATACAGGGCAATATTAGTACAGACTCTGGAGCCAGACTGCCTGTGTTTGTAATCCTGGCTCTATCTTTTACTAGTTGGGTAACTCTGGATAAAAGATTGAACCGTTTAGTTTCCTTGTTTGCAAAATGGAACTTACTTCATTGGGTTGTGAGAACAAAATGAATGTGAATGCAGTGCTTAGAACACAGTAAGTACTTTAGCATTTGCTATTATTATTATTATTACTAATACACTACACGCCTGATTTCAGAAGCATTCTACTCTCAAGTAATTGGACAACAAAAGACAATAAACTGGATCATGCTCTTTATAATATCCTGTACAGTTACACACAGCTTATCTATATCTATATCTATATCTATATCTATATCTATATCTATATCTATATCTATATCTATTAGAACCCTTTTACCATGCCATGCCAGTTTTCACAGAGGATATTATGTAAGGACACATAAAAAGCTCACCTGAACTCCATTTCAGTAATAAAAACTCGTTATTAAAAACAACTTTTATAGAGCGAGATGACATTAAAACTTTCTTCTATTCAAGTTGGAAACATGAGAGAGGCCAATAAAAGTAACATTTACTATAAAACTTGGCTTTTGGAGTTGGTTAGTTAGATCATGTACTTGCAAGGCCAAAAATACAATGAATTGCTAAATAACTCAATTCATTTCTCTGCTCTGTGTTCTTTGGTTCAGATTGCATTCTTACCCACAGCCAACCACCTCACAAAGGCATTTTAAGGGAAGCAATCAAAGGAATCTACATGAGAGAGTAGGTAGAGGTCAGTAGATAGTATATATGCTTGATCCTGATATCGGAAAAGCAATTTAAAGAAATATCTTACTGATGGTGGGGCGGGAGCATAATTTGACCCAAAACACTTACTGGTGCTTTCTCTAAGCCAAGTGAGCATCATCTCAAGCACAGTTACACATGTCATCACTTAAATGAAATAAATATTAGATTGGCCTTCTGGAAAGGAGAGGAAAAAGACAAAGAAAAAAAAGAAAACAAGGAGAAAGGAAAAAAAGAAGAAGGCATTTGTCTTCCAAGCTTGAATTTGATTAGGAAAATATTATGTGAGGATTAAAAGAAAAGAGCCGGTTAGCCTCAGCCTTCAAACAGCAAATCTATGATATCCTTTCTTGGTATTTTACATGCGTGGTGACACTTTCATGGCATTATGCCATTGGCATTTTCTGTATGAAAAGTGCAGTGAGTACAGAGAGAAAAGGAACATTCACTAGCACTAGGAAAGTAAAAGTAAAAAAGAAAAATATTTCAGCCATTCCATCACCATCCCACCCACTTTTATGGAAGATCAAAGATGAAACTTACCTCCACTGAGAATAATGACGGCTATAAATATTGCCAAATCACTGTCATCTAATTCCAGTGCATTGAACTTCACAGCAAACTCAAACTTGGGCTCCATAAAGTCACCAAAGGGCTTTCTCAAGCTCTTTAGAAACTCCCTTGTCATGAATCCTTGGCCCTCCGATATGAGAACCCCGTCTTTATTCATCAAGGAAGCCAGCATGGTGTAAATGATCTCGTGGACGCCATATTTTAGGAGAGTTACTTGGTCATTCAAGTCAAGGTTTACGAAACCAGGAATGCTTTTGGCATATTCTGTGATCTCTTGCACAGCTTCCACTGAGCGGAACTGACAGCCTTGAAATATGCGGATGGCCACCTCTTTGCTCTGCTCCTGCAAGGGGGTGATGTGTTTGAACTTAATTTTATCTTCTCCCATCATTAAGGAATTCATGTCATAGATAACAAATGGCTGCAAATAAAAAAGAGAAAAAGTGAGTTAGTTGGAGACTTCTAATTCACAGTGAACAGCATCCCAGTTTCTTCATACACATTTGCTTTAATAACTGAAATCTTTAAAGTCAACAACATTAATAATGACAAAGTACTGTTATCTCCTGATTATTCCTCCTAATTGTCTTCTAGGATCAAAGATATTTAATCTATTTTGTTCTTCTGTTCCTTCAACTTAATCCTACAAAACTTTACATGACTAGCTAATAGTCCTAATTTCTGTTGTTTGAGGAGTGTTTGTTATTGATTTTAAAAAATGATAAAATCTATTGTAATCTTGGCTTTCAATGGAATATGTATTTTATCCTTCTTTCAATAAAAAATCCTTTCAGCAGCCCAGCTGGTATGGCTCAGTGATTGAGTGTTGACCTACAAGCCAGGAGATCAGTTCAATTCCTGGTCAGGACATATGTCCAGTTTGCAGGCTCCATCCCGAGTGTGTGTGTGTGTGTGTGTGTGTGTGTGTGTGTGTGTGTGTGTGTGTGGTGGGAGGTGTGGAGCAGGAGGCAGCCAAACAACAATTCTCTCTCATCATTGATGTTTCTGTCTTTCTCTCCCTCTCCTTTCCTTTCTGAAATCAATAAAAATATTTAAAAAATTATTTCAGCAACCCAAGGTTGAACAGACCCACTTGAACATAAAGTAGTCTTGCAGTTTTAGATTAAATCTACTGAGATCTTAGTATGCATGTAAAATATCTTTAACCCCCCCCCAAAAAAAAAAATCAATCTGAAAACAGACTAGAAATATTGAGCCAAGAAAATGTCTATTTCTTTTCTTAATGCTCTGGAAGCAATCTGTAAGAGCAGATGTATAAGGCCTGTGGGTAAGTGTTGCAAAAAGAGTTCTGAACTTATTTTTCAAAATATCTGTTTGCAACAGGCTGCTTTAAAAAGCAGGTTGGGTTAGTCATGAAATGATTTCTCTCTTTCATTTTCTTGTATAGAACTAACTGAAGGTTTGTGGTCATTATGAAAACTCTCAAGGCTATTCTGGTTGAGAAGGGGCAGCACTTTATATGTACATATACTGAACTATATAAGGACTTAAACCCCCAATCCTCTTCAAATTAGTATATACAAGGAAGCACTAATAAGAGTTGAGGGTACTCGGGATCTAACTTTTGTTCTGTGGTTAACTATGTGACTTTAGGAAAGTAATTTATCTTTCTTAGGCCTCAAATTTCTCAGTTGAGGGGAGTGCATTAAATTAGAGGTTGCCATCTCTTCTCTTGAGGATATTCTAGTTGCATTTCTCAAAAGCAGTGTGTGTGTGTGTGTGTGTGTGTGTGTGTGTGTGTGTGTGTGTGTGTGTACACGTGCCTGTGTGCACGCTGTGAGTGGATATGTGTGAATTGTGCATGCACACATGCATGTACACTAACGTGCTAAAAATAAAGCTTCTTTTCAGCAGATATGCTGAAAATTCTCTCCTGACTGGCAAGAGGAAGTGGGTGCAGTGAATGGCAGCTTCAAAACCTGCTGATTTGGAGATTCTAACTATTAATCTCCATTAGTCTATGATTTTCACTGAACTATTAAGTCTGTTCTACACTGAAGAAAATAACACTAACACTAAGGGCTCTTAAATGCTGAGTAAATTTCCAAACTTGCCTATAATTTCAGCACCATTCACTGGAGTTATTCCAGAAATTCTTTTTTATTTTTTTTAAACAAAAAAAAATGCACTTATATTGTTTAGCAACCAAAAAGGAGGACAGATGTGAGGACCTAAGAGTAAGTTTGTATGGTGGCTCTAACTAATTCTTCAAGTAAATCAGGAACCAACAGTGCTTACTATGTTTTGGGTTATTTTGTGCTCCCATTCCTCACTTCAGGATTGATATTATTAATGGGAGAGAAAAAAAAAAAAAAAAAAAAGGGCAGAGAAGATAGTAAGTCACATCAGTTAAACTGTGCGGAGTTTCCCCAGAATGTCAGATTCTAATCATGAGAAAATCTTGCTTTTATAGAACCTAAAGAAAATGTGGTTTTTGTCCTCCAGGAGCTTTGCAGCTTATTAAAGTTTATGCTGATGAAATATTAGCTTTCTTTTGCCATGAGAATGTTATGGTATGGATACCTGAAAAGTCTACCCTCACATGGATGAGTACGAATTACATGACTATAAAATCATCATCTCTTTACGTATGGAAGGACTATACCCAGAACTACCCATTTCCACTTTTGGATGAGCTTCTGCTCCACAGTTTGGTTTCTTGGCACAGAGTGTATGCCTAAAATTCTTCTACCTCCATGTAAGCAACTTATCTGGAACTCTGCCCTGATAAATCACCCTGTGACTCTTCCCCTTCACTTCCCTTGTCCCCTCATATAAAGCCCCAGGTTCCTGTTTTTGAAACTCTGTGATAATTGAGCATAGGGCACAAAATCCTGCTAATTTTCTCTCCCAATTTAACAACAATGTGACTTTAACCCCTTGGCAATCGATGTTGGTCAGGATTTCCTGGCAGTAAACACTCAAGGACAGAGAAAGGAATCAGCAGCCCCCACCATTATGCCAAACCATTCCTTTTTTTTTTTTTTTTTTTTTCCTTTTTAAATCCTTTCAGCATTTTGAAAGAAGTGATGAACTGGCAGAAAATTCTAGGTATTGACATGCAAATGAATACCAGGTGGATTTTTGTTTTTGTTTTTTCCCAGTCATATCTGATTATGCTATTTTTATTGTATTTTTAAAGTCTGCAGCTTAGATTCTTTCAGCCTTCATAATCGATCTGTCAAACTGTTAAGTGATCATTAGACACGATCTGCCTTTCTTTGCCACCAAATCACCAATTCTTAGGTTGCAAACAATTAACTTGCATATTTCACAATGGGACCTTCTTATCCCTTAAAACTGTAGGTGAAATGAGGTCTGTTGAATTTCTCTTGAATCATTAATTTACTATTACACCTCTGATAAAATATTACATTCTTTTGTATATTTTGTAAAGGGAAGCTTTTTATGTTCTATTAGCTTGTACAGCATCTTCTGCAGAACCTGCCATGATAAGAGGAACCATATCATCTTTGAATTTGGTCTTAATGGTTTTATATTTCTAGTTTAGGGCTAACAATGTACTTATCAGACAGTTTATCAAGTGGCTACATAAGCATCTCTCCTTAACAGGAAAGAACACTTAATTACATCTAGGATATTATCAGGGATAGATCAGGTTTTATGAGGCCTAAAATGTATACTGTTGTTGAGTACATTTACAACAATTCCTGGTTCAATAATACAAACGATAAGAATACAACTGGTCTTCCCAGTGCATCCCAAGGGGCTCTCTGCAAGCTTCATTAGTGTCCTGGTGAATCTATCTCTGGCCACTATGATGCTTGTACCCCTATACTGGACAGACCAGAAAAAAGTGAGAATGAAATGAAGAAAATTGTACTTGAACAAAATGCTTTTTCAGAGAAAAACAGTTTCTGCAAGGAGAAATTACAGAAAAGTTTTCTTTGAAGTGATACATCGAAATGTACTTTATTTTTGTATATGATGATTTAAAAAAATGGCTGCACATATCAAAACCAGGATGGAATTAAGGGCACTGTTTTAGCCAAAGCCAGTTTGGCTCAGTGGTAGAGCATTGGTCTGCGGACTGAAAGGTCCCAGGTTCGATTCCAGTCAAGGGCATGTACATTGGTTGCGGGCACATCCCCGGTAGGGGGTGTGTAAGAGGCAACTGGCCGATGTTTCTCTCTCATTGACATTTCTAGCTCTCTATCTCTCTCCCTTCCTCTCTGTTAAAAATCAATAAAAGTATATTTTAAAAAAAGGCACTGTTTTATATAGATCATTAAATTTAATTATAGATCTATTGCATGCCCATTATGTGAAACACAAAGGTCCTGGAGAAAGTTGGCTAATAACTGAGGAATAGAACAATAGTATTCCTTTCATTTGCCTTTTAATATATGAATTATGAAAGGGATTATACATAAATTTCCAGCTCCTTAAATAATAAAATAGTAAGCTAAAAAAGATAAACAAAAAAAGTCAACTAATAAAGCAGAGTATTCCAGGGATTTCTCCCTTTTGGGAGATTGAAACTAGTGTAGTAGACAACCCTACCATCTCACAAATGATCACTTTGGTAACCATGTAAAAGTTAAAAATGGCCTGGAAAAATGTGTGCCTCCTCTGGTGGGGTTCTCTTGATATGCTTAGTTTTTTGACAAATTAGAGCAAAGGCTCAAGAAATCCTTAGGGTCCATCTTCTTCATTTTATTCCCTTCTTTCTCTTTATACTTCTGACTGACTTTCATTCCTTTAGACACATATGGTTATTCTTGATTAACTACAGTGGGTGAATGGTAACCCAAAATGCTTTGGTTGGGTTTTCTCAACTTTTTCCTGGTTTCTGCCCATGTTGTTCCTATTTTCCTCTTGTTGGGAACCATGGGGTTTATAGAACTAACAGGGTATTCAGAAATAACCTACATCATCATGCTCTGATTAGGTATGAATAAACTAAAGCCAAGAGGTGGTTCCTAGTCAAATGGCTGAACAAGAACTAGATCTCCTGATTCATGTTCAGTTCTTTTCTCTTCCTATAGCTTTCTACATAACTTCCAACTCTTTCTTTTTGAAATAAAATGACTAACCTGAGAAGAGCTGTGACTTATTTTTTTTAAATATTTTAAATGTTTTTATTGATTTAAAAAATTTTTTTTGAGAGAGAGTGGAAAGGAGCGGGAGAGAGAAACATTAGTTGGCTGCTTCCCAGGGATCAAACCTGCAACCTGGGTATGTGCCCTGACCAGGAATTGAACTGGGGACCCTTTGGTACACAGGATGATGCTCAACCAATTGAGCACGCTGGCCAGGGCAGGACTGTGACTTTGAAACTGAAGCTGTTATATGCTAGGATCTTGGAGGCAGTGCCTTTTGAACTGTTATATCCTAGAGGTGCTACTTAAGTGCTGTATGCGATTGAAATTTGAAAGT